ATTTTCCTCTTTCTTCAAGAATATTCTCCACTTTCGGTTTTCATCCCGTTAAAGATTGGTTTGTATTGATTTTACTTTCTTGTCGAAACATTAGGTGTTGGAACAATAGAGTTACTGAATACTGAACTCAGTATTGTGTTTAGTGGTCATCTGGGCTTCCGACAAATTGTATTGCTTGCAGCTGGAGGAAGAACTTTCCAAAGTGACTGGTGTCCTTAAAGTGAGGCTCTTAGCAAGCATGAAATTGGTTTTGTCTAATACTGCCACCTTGCATATCTTGTGAATTGGTAATCCTACAAGGAGGAGAAAACGAGTTCAAAGATGAAGTTTATGAAACTAGGATCCCGGCCTGATACTTTCTATACTACCGAGGCTGTAAGGTAAAGTTTTCTTCGTCACAGTTTCAATCAATTTGTAGCCCCTTGGTATCTTGAATAATCTGCTGAATTCAGCTATAATAGTTGATTCTTGATACCCTTGTTTCAAGTGACAAAGTAAGAATCTTTTCTGTTTGTTGATGCAGGTCAGTCTCCTCAGAGGTCTCCAGCGATCTCATAGTTCAGGTCAAAGGAAGCAGATATATGCTTCATAAGGTAAATTCCTTGGTAATTTACTCGTCTCCGTAGACTAATTCTGTGAAATGAAACGAAATGGGAAATCAAGAAGAAAAGTTGTGAATTTTGTGAAGTTGACAACTTGTCTTGGCTGTCCTGCAGTTTCCCCTGCTATCCAAGTGTTTGCGCCTGCAGAGGCTGTGTGCTGAAAATCTCGAGTCACAGCACCAAATAGTCCAGCTACCTGATTTTCCAGGAGGTGTCGAGGCATTTGAGCTGTGTGCAAAGTTCTGTTATGGTATCACCATCACTCTCAGTGCCTACAACATTGTCTCCGCTCGATGCGCTGCAGAGTACCTTCAAATGACGGAGGATGTGGAGAAGGGGAACTTAATTTACAAACTTGAAGTTTTCTTTAATTCTTGCATACTTCAAGGGTGGAAGGATTCAGTTGTAACATTACAGAGCACCAAGGCGTATCCTTTGTGGTCCGAGGACCTCGGCATGACAAGCAGATGTATTGAAGCCATTGCTTCAAAAATTCTGGCCAACCCCTCAAAGATGTGCTTGTCACACAGTTATTCAAGGAGAGGGAGGGATGATATCTCTTGCAATGGATCAGAAAGCCAGAGGCAGAAACCTGCAACCAAAGGCTGGTGGGCTGAAGATATAGCTGAACTGGGGATAGACCTCTACTGGAGAACAATGATAGCCATAAAATCTGGTGGGAAGGTGCCCTCCAATCTTGTAGGTGATGCGTTGAGGATTTACGCAGCTAGATGGCTACCAAACATATCAAAGTACATAAGTGTTGACAATGAAGTGGAGTCTGAACCTGAGATGGATTCAATTAAGGAAGTTACATCTAAACACAGGCTGCTTCTTGAATCAATTGTTAGCCTATTACCAGCTGAAAAAGGTTCTGTTTCTGCGGCTTTTTATCAAAATTACTGAAGGCTGCTAACATACTTAAAGCCTCTTCAGCTTCCAAGAATGAATTGGCAAGAAGAATTGGAATTCAATTGGATGAGGCCGCGGTTTCTGATCTGCTAATACCATCACTGTCATACACAAGTAACATGTTATATGATGTTGATGTGGCCATGACCATATTAGAGCAGTTCATGTTACAAGGACAAAGTCCCCCAACAAGTCCTCCAAGAGCCAAGCGGGATTTCGAACGAAGGAGGTCTCGTTCGGCAGAGAATATAGATTTTGAGTTTCAGGAGAGCAGGAGGTCATCCTCTGCATCACATAGTTCAAAACTCAAAGTAGCAAAGCTCGTGGATGGATATCTACAGGAGATAGCTCGAGATGTCAACGTACCCCTCTCAAAATTTACAGCATTGCTTCAGCACTTCCAGAGTTTGCCAGGGTCGATCATGATGATCTTTACAAAGCCATCGACATTTATCTCAAGGTAATTATTTCCATAGAAAACAGAAAGACTGATTAAAAATCATACCGTAGTTGATTCTTTTTCTTGTTTCCTTATTTTTTACTTTTGTTTTAACCTTTTTCCTTCCTGTTCTAAAATTACACAAGGGGTTAGATGTTTAAGAAAGGTTGGAGCAGAAGAATACAAAGACAGATTAGTTGATAGAAATTCAGGATGTTTGTCAATGTCATTCAGTGGATAACCAACTACCTTGACCTTTAAATGCTGTCCATTTCTTGTTTGGTTAGTTAATTCAACTTTATGCACATCAATTTGGTATAATCTGGCAGTAGTCCTCGTACGTTGATTTTACTGCCTACGGCCACGTTCAATGGTCTGAGAACTTTCGGTGGGAGGGACTCAAAAGAATTTTAGATAATGTTCTGTCATCACAGGAATCAGGATTATTGGTGTTAATTTGATCCTCACGAATCTGATGGGACTGATATTCACTGCTTGACTCGGAGTGCTACATGCCACTATTTCTCTCTATGTTATTTTCTTTGCTTCTGTTTCACTCGAATTAAACCTTTATCCTTGATAGATTCCTCTACCAATTGAATCATGAATTCCAAATGGGAGAATGGTGTTGACATAATTCCTTCTACTAAACTGTGCAGGGACATCCAGAACTCAACAAAAGTGACAGAAAGCGTCTGTGTCGAATTTTAGACTGCAGAAAGCTATCCGTTGAAGCCTGTATGCACGCTGCCCAAAATGAAATGCTTCCCCTTAGGGTAGTGGTGCAAGTTCTTTTCTTTGAACAAGCTCGAGCTGCCATGGCTGGTGGCCAAGTCACTGATCTGCCAAGCAACATCAAGGCTCTTTTAGCTACACACAATGACCACTCATCAAGGCCTGCAGCATCCTTCAGCAACAATGGTATGACACCGGCAGATGATCAATGGAGTGTCTCTGGAGCAAAATCACCCAAATCAAAGCTTTCGACTCTAAAAATGAAGCTGGCTGAGGATGATGATTTGGATGAAAATTACCAGGATGGGATTGGGAAATCCTCAAGAGTTAAGGCATTATGCATGCTTCCTAATCGACCTAAAAGGATGTTGAGCAAGTTGTGGCCTAGCAACAGAAGTACTAGTGAGAAAAACTGAAAGAAATTTTGTTTTCTTTCTAGTTAAAAGGGATGGTTATTTGATGGTTAACATATACTCTACCTTAATTTTTTTTTTCCCCCCTTTGTCTAGTTCTTGCTTAAGCTTTGTAATTGTTAGGGAAGATAATCCAATGTGCATTATTGGTGTACCTTATGCTAATAAAAGCAAATGTTGTAGAGGCTCAAAGGGCCAAAAGAGTCTCTGAGGAACCTCTATTAGTGCAAAATGGAGTTGGAGGCTTGTGAGGCTGGAGTCGGGACAAAGGTATTGTGCATATTTGTTCCATCCAAGAGCATCCATCTTTATCATATATTGTAACTTAGTGAATTCCCCTGTCGAAGAGGAAATTTAATGAACTGTTTATAGCGTACCTAAAAACTTCTCTCTGTTCCGGAGTGGAGTTATTCACCTTCAGGCGGTTGCTTTTCAGAAATTTTCTTGTACAAATTCAGGCGAATGTGGAACGGCATTTGAAAGTATATTTGTTTTTGAGGAATCCATATCTGCAACTTGAAGAATTCATCAATGCAGCTGGTCCTCCTCACTGTTTGTGGAATGATGCACCTTCTTAAACAACAAGTGTCAAGGCGAAATAAATTGCTATCACTCGTATGCTAATCAAGATGAAAAATATACAAAGAGAATTTGCTCTAAACTAATGTTGTTGTTTCTCACAGGAGAAAACTGTAACGCAGGAAATCAAGACTTGAACTTGGCAATGTCCATATCCTCCCAGAAGAGAACGCAACAACCCCCCAAAAGAAACAACAAAAAACATAACTTGGTAATAGTGCATGAAGAACATAGCAGTGGTACGGTTATTGTGCACAAAAGACTCTCTAGATATCATGCATAATTATTCAGTGCTTCTACTCCCAAATTTGGATTTGGTACAATTATTTTGTCTTCCGAAGTTGTATCGGGATTTAAGAGTCGAGATATTGTCTCTGCAATTGATTGAACTTTCGAGGCGGGTGTCCCATTAACATCACTTAAAAAATACTAGTATTGATGGTCCAGCATCCTTTGTGTTGGTTTGTCATTTATTCAGGAATGTACAAGGACAGCTGAGCTTCATGTTTGAGCACAAAAAGTTTACTTCTTTTTGCTTAACATAGAATATACTATGTACTAAATTGATCAGACGTTTTTTTTTTTTTTTTTTTGTAGTATAACAAGCAGGAAAATCATTAGGCAGATCAATATTGGTTCTTCAATAATTTAGGTAGTAATGACCATGTTGGGGCTAATGATTCCTACGTGCTTAAGCTAAACGACCAGCTAAAGTTGATACATGCGATGTCATCATCGAAGAAGACCCCAAATTGAATTGATTTAATTTTGCATATCTGGTTATTGCAACTAGTGTTTGGACTTTGGAAATATGTATGTCATCAAAGCCTGCCTGTTTTATTTCGATCTACTTTTCATCACCGATCCGGATGCATCACTCAGGCCCAACTCCAACTGGACTAGTGGTGTGATGAGTAAATTATTGTTCATCTGCAGCAAAAGATATTAAAAAGTACGTACAACACGAGTGTAATATTTTTGGTGACGTAGAAAACTATAAAAACATGCATTCTCTTTTTTTTTTAAAGGAAAAAAAATTAGTAAGAGAATGGTGGGATTTAAGGAGTTAGGAGGGGGAAGTCTCAATCTTAGCCACTATAAAACATGTATTATTAGTTATATTTTTTAACCTTTTTTTGGGGTTTTAAAGATGCTAAGTACAAATAATTATTCAAGAGTTAGTCTAGACCACCTCATCTACTACGAATTTAAACCATGAAAGGGATAAAATAACATTTCAATCAATACTAAGGCGAGTTTTCCCTTTTCCTCTTTTGTATTCATTTCAAAAGGGAAGAAAAAAAAAAAAGAAATCCCAAATGCCTCTTCAAGGATATTAATCAGTTTTTTTTTTTGAAATTGGTACTCAAGCTTGGTATATCTTAATATGCAGTAGCTACAAAGTACTTGGCAGGCACAACTAATAAAACATCATGAAATGAGACAAAGTACATACAACAAATAGATGCATTCTTTCATTTTTACGTCTAAATGAGACCAAAATAAAACCTTAATCCTATAGCTAGCAAATTTTTACAGTCAAGCGAGCCTCCTGCACTACACCACCGTCATGCGATCAGTACTTAATTTGTTCAGTTGGGCTTAGATTGTGAATCCTGGAGGGGGGTTGAATCAATGCTTTTGGTTCTCTGGAGGCTTTGTTGGGGAACTCGATGAAGCCTACAACGAAAGGAACCTGCATGGGTGGTTGGAGAGCAAAGGCAATTGTTCTTCGTCATGCTTCCCTGCCTAGCAAGCCCGCCACCTCCAGTGGCTACCCCTGGTGCCACCACCGGAAAAGCCATTTCACTTTCTCCTGGAATTTCCAACTTCAAATTCTTTTTATGTATCACTTCTCCCTCCATTTTTCTCTTCTTTTTTTCTTTAACTTAAAGCAAAGCAAAAACAAAAACAAAAAAAAAAAGCATGTTGAATTATATGTTGTCAGTGTTGCACATAACAAAAATAATTGACAGAAATTACAAACTTACTTGAGTTCTGGAGTTGATAGCCAGCAGCTCTAGCAAGTTAGTAACAAAGTGCATGGCTGGATAGTCTGGCTATGCTTTAAATAAAGGAAAAGCAAGGCAAAAGAAGTGGATAATGAATTTGTCTATGGTAAAGACAAGACAGGTGGGGGTGGTACTGCACCTGTGTTAGCAGTAATTAAAATGATGGAGATGGCCATGCAGCCATCTCTGCTTTTACATATGATGTCTCTTTCTTTCTCACGGGTATGGTAATATTGTCCATTAACGTCCCAACTGCATTCATCACTTTATATAATGCTTCAACCACTCTATTGGATTTAACTTTAATAGAAACCTATGATTAGCCAGCTACCTTTTTTTTTTGACCCATTTTTTTCCTTGTTCATGATCAAGAATAGGAATTCATCTAGAAATGTATCAAGAAATGCAATAGTTTCGTTTTCCTTTGATGACAGAGGGAACTCAATATGTGTGGCCAAACTCAGCAAGAATCTCCAGTAATAGTTCAGAACTGTACATGCTACTATTTTACCAAACATATTGAGCACGTACAGAGTAAGAGTAGCATCAAAGGGGAAGGGTGTGATAAGGAGTCGTGGCAGACATTCTCGTGGCTGTCAATTTTAGGCTATTTGGTCCATTGATCCATCACTTCCCTCGCGTTAATGCAAGCCGCTGTGGCTTGTGGGTCACAACTCACCAAGTCTCAACCATCACTTAATGTATATATTGAAGGATCTCATACCAGATCCTCCAAATTTTGATTGATATATACCTTCCATCAGGATATTTTTTGATTGCTAAATCTGTGCTTTGCTGATCCAGCCGGGCTATTTGGAAAAACACAAGCATTAGAAACAGCTCCAAGCTGAATCATCAAAATATCTTGTCTGGAAGAAGCCCTTGGTAGTTGGAATTTGTGCTATTTCATGAGGAATTTCACTAATCTATTTTCTTACGTAAAGTTTTCACTCTCCATGACCTCAACAATTTGGGGCTCAGGTTTTCAAATTATATTATGTATACAAGTCTGCCTAACGGATATTCATTCAGCACTCGTTAAAACATATTTCCAGTGTCATATTTTTAAAAAATGTAAAATTAACTAGAAAAAGTAAACAAATACAGGAGAGTCTAGATAAGATTAAATAGGAAAAATATATAAATATACGAGAGTGTAATAATTGTTAGTATGTGTACATATATGATAGGTTAGATAAATTTTAGATGCCTTAATGAGTTTCCAATGGACATCCTTTGGAAAAACTTTATGTACATTATCCCTAAGTTAATCTTATATACACTTGACAGTGTAAGTTAATCTTCTTATAGTATGTTTAGATGCATGATATATATTTAAAATTTGAATTTTAAATTAAAATTAAAATTAGTTGTTGTGTACCCTTAGGTAATAATGTATACATAAAAAATTAATCCTATTATCCAACTTGCGTTTCAACTATCTCTAACTTTTTTCCTCTGTTTTCTTTTTCCTCTATTTCTGGACCCCAATATGCATACATAATTATGGTTTAGTTTCAATACTATCTAATTTTTTTTCTATATTTTCTTTTTCTTTTAGTTTCAGACACCAATATGCATACGTAATTACGGTTTAGTTTCAATACTACGTAAACTAAACACAAATAACACGATACACCACTTTTTAAAAAAAAAAATATTTTTTTTTTAGGCCTCCCTTAGCACATTTTACCTACCACCACCACGACCGCTTACAACATACCATAACCTCCCACTGCCACCACTACTTCTCTTCCTCCTTTGATCACGACTATCATGACTAGATCTAGTCTAGTCGCGGTCCAGATTGCACAGCCCTTCTCTCCTTCCTTCCCTTTTTTTTGGTCACAACCACCACCCCTACAACTAGAGGAAGGGGAAGAGAAAGAGGACGGGAAGGGAAAGGAGAGGAAAACGGAGGAAAATGAAAAAAAAAAAGAAATAGGAGGAAGAGGGAGAAAGAGAAAGAGGGAAAAACAAGGAGGAAGAAGAAGGGAGTGGCAGTGGAAGACGGTGATGGGTGGTGTTAGGTAGTTGAGATAAAAAAATTTAAAGATAAAAAAAAAAGAGATAAAAATTTTTAAAAACATCCTGCTAAAATTTTAAATTTTAAAATATCGCAAAATACATTTATTATGAAAATTTTGGTATACAAAACTATAGTTAAAGACACTTCTAAAAATACCTAATCAATACGGATCCTAAAAGGTGGGAGATGATGGATTGTGGATGCGTTAGCCCAAAAAAGTGGGCCTTCAACTTAATTAAGTACGAGTTCACATAGAGGAACAAATCCATGAAACTTAACAAGAATTCACGTTTATGGCTTGACGCGAGGCAGTTAGCAAACGCTAAAAGCATATCTGGGCCTAGATGGCCCAAAATAATGGCACGGTCCAATAAAAGGCTCCTTTCATGAAGTATACTCGTCCAAAAGGACGCTTCTAAGATCTCTGTCATCTTCGCTCGGGAGCATATTGGTTGGTGGCATACACTTTGAAATTATGTTGCAAACTATCTCATTTACATTTTTAATTATATACGCATAAATGCAATTTTTTTTTTTAAAGAGAGAGAGAGAGAGAGAGAGAATAGTTTTCATGTGCCTCTAACTGAAAATTTCGATGTGCTAATTTTAATAAATGAATGACTTCTAATTTCCTTTGAAAACTGAATTACGTTTTTCGCAATAAGTTCATCCAACTGGGAAATTACAAGAGATATCTGTTTAAAATATAAGTTTGTTTGGATTGCGGTTTATTTGTCAAAATATATTTGCTTACGTCATCATTACAATTTTCAACACAACTTTTTATCTTCCCAATTACCTTTTTATCTCACATACATCACATCACAAAAAGTGCTACAGTAAAAATATCTCTAATAATTCACGATCCAAACAAATCCATAGATTGATAAATAGTCACCTACTAACACACACACTAGATAGATCTCACATTAAACAACGAGAAGGTGTAATGAGTATTAAGTATAGCACATGCTAATCTACACGGGAAAGAAATCTAGCACATGCTAATCTACACGGGAAAGAAATTAGAGGTTTTAATAAAGAAATAAATGCATAACTGAAGGGCCAATGTATCTCTGCCATTTGGATCTGAATTATCAAACTCCCTTCCTAGCTACAGCGTCTCAAACTTCAGATCAAATCTTTTGACATTGAAGCCCGGGAAACAGTTAAAAAGTACAAAAAGCTGCTTTGTTAGCACCTGGAAAACGTGGGCATATATCATGTTATTGAATTGTCTCCTGTAGAAAGAAAAGGATCGGAGCTTCTTTTTTTTTTTTCAAATTCTCTCATCACTTAAATTTATCTATCTAGAAGTTGCTCGTGCTTTATAATATTTTCAGGATAGCATAGATTGAAAAATGTAAAAAAAAAATACTAATTGTTTAAAAAAAATTTAACGATCCTGTTCCAATTATTTACACTTCTTTTGTTCTTTCTACTTTTTATAGAGGTTCGGAAAAAGCTGGAACAAAATGGAATCAGAAGGAACTGAAGTTTTCTAACCAAAAACAAAATAGTCGGTTAATTTTCATAATTGGTCCAGTCATGATCAGACAATTGTACTACTTGTCTATAAAGGGTTTTCAGAGACTCTTCTGACCATTACCCAATGGTTGTGTTCTGGTGACTAGTAGAGTCTTTTCAATTCAAGTGCTCGCTACCTTCCAGCAAGTTCCCCGACCAATACTGCAGTAGTCGCTCATAGTAGAGTTGCATACGAATCGAGCCGTTTACAAGCAGTTTGAGTCAAAGTTTAACTCGAATTCGATTAACAAAAAGCTAGATTCGAATTTGAACTGATCAAGTTGGTGGTTGTCAAACTATCAAAAATAAAATTTATATTAGACCTACTATCAAAACTGAATGAATATAGTGGTGAGTAGGGTCGTCTCCTCAGGGAACCGGTAGATTTATCACACACAGGTAATTGGAGAATTTTTTGAAGAGAGAGATAGATTAAACAAATTAATGTTATAAAATTACTAAATAAACAATTGCAACAAATGCAATAACTCAAAAATGAAATAAACAATTAATTGACACACCCTAGTTAAGGAGATAATCTCAGCACCGGTTCACACAATTAATCATAGATACCATGGATAATTTACACGTTCGCAAATAAATTGGTTATAGCAATTTAGCAACCGCCAAACTCCCAATCTCTTCTTAATTTTATGGTAGTTCAGAGACGCTCTTAAATTTCTCTCTTGTAGAGACGCTCGAAGGATTTAATTTAATCACAGCTTTAGGAATTAGAGAGACTCAATTCTAATTAACAAACACACATGTGGGTTCATTTAAACTAGATTAATTATTCTCACGACCCAGATTAGACTGCTTGCGAGGCAATGAAATTATGCCGTTCACCACTAATTTAAAACAATCAAATGATACACACCCTTGTCTTAATTGACCGTATACTATTCAGACAATTGAACAACTGGTCACATTGATCCAATAAATCCAAACAATAATAGACTATTAAATCAAAGAATAATTAAATACCCACAAACGCAAAATTTAGAATAATAAAAACGATCTCACAATTGTTCGTGCACCGAGCATTGATTACTCCTCAACTAGATAGAAGAACTTAGCCTGATCTCATGCTATTCATGCGATTCACATTTTCCATGGAGTTTCGTTAATTGCAGAGAAAAAGTAAAAAGATTCGGCCGCCAGCTTACAACTTGCGTTAAAAAGGAAAAAAAGAAAAACAAAGAGAAAACTCCAAGACAGATGATAAGATCCCTAGTCTATTGCTATCCTCCTATTTGTAGTGTTGCCGCCGTCCTTTTTGCTAGCCGAAAATAAGAGGTTGTTTCTCAAACGAATTGCTTCCTTAATTCCCTCATTAGATTGTTGCCAAAAGTCATCTTTGACTTGAATCAATTCCACGCACGTTCAAAATTTGTTTCCAAAGAAAGGTTGTAATTCCAGGGATAAGACCCGCAGTCCGTCTTTTTCGCGCAGCTCTACCTTGTCTGGCGTGGGCACGCCAGAGAATGCCTAGTCTTTTGGAATTTGCCTCTTCTTTTCACTTTTTAACACCCACTCGCCTACAAATAACACACATACCAAATTTGGGCAGAAATCCAGT